GAATGTTAGTGACAAAAAGCGGGTTTTGAAATGGTGATCCAATACATTATAGCAGTCTACTTGGCTAATTTTCTAATATTGCCAATACTGGTGTAGCATAATTAATTCAGTTTCATTATTGGGACTTTTAACATCTGTGATGATGATTTTTAACTATTTAATTTCAAAAACTAGACAAATTATTCCATTTAATTTTGTAAAATTGTGGGTATTATAATTTTAGGTACCTGCTTCTCAAGTTCGATATTGTCTATGCAACTGTACTATGAAACCAACATTCAATAACAAACATATGTTTCAAAATGTCCTTATTCAGATATATCATTAACATTGATTATTGAATTTGAATGCAAGTCATATGAGAAGACCACAACGTATGTATTCAGAAATAAAAAATGTAGAGTTTGAACTTCAGGAGTTGAGAGGGCACCCATTAGTTTTCAAAGCAAAACGTGATGAAATCATCTTGGCGTATATAGATAATACAGAAAACATATTACATAGTTTTTTTTTTTTATATATTGGTATTTTCAGGTAGTCACACTAAAACAAACTTTTATGGCTTTGGGGCAATTATCTCTGATGCCTCAATGAAGTATAAACCCCTGAAGATCATATCAATCTTACCCCTAAAAGTGATCAATACAGATGCAGTGATCTGTGCATCTCGCAACTATGATATACAACTCATCAACTCTTACCAACTTTTGACCAATTTCTCCATCAACAAATAGACGTATGATGAAATGGCGCCCCCACTGTTCAGACTTACCTAATGGTGAGCAAATCACAACCAGCCAGGGCAGTGATCTGTCCATCATTTCTGAAACTAGCACCCATAACAACCGTCTTATAGTCGTATTTCTTGTAATAGTTGTAAATCTTTGTCACACTTATGACACCTATGAGAAAAAAACAAATATAGTTTATATAATAAGCAGCCAGCTGACAAACTGTACAGTACAAAACATGTAAAGATAGTGTTCTTAAATTAGAAAAATACTCATAAATTCAAATAACCAGAGGTTATATTGTATTCAATTTGAAATAAATTGCACTCCTGGGCAATATACAGATATAAAAAAGATTTAGTCATCAGCCTAATTTTAAAGAAAATGATGGTTGTATTTAGTGGGTAGTGGCCATTTTTTTCAGCATTATAATTCTTTTTACCATAGATTCCTATGGCAGAGATATTATGACATATCTCAAATTGTCGGCTGGTGACATCTAGGCTGAAAAAAAATCACATGTTGCGGTACTCAACATGAATTATTCCAAAAATCGGAGTTCTAAAAAGTGCATTTCATTTTAAATGTTCTACGGAATTGTTTTTGAAAAACATTAGGACAAATTTCTCAAAATAGGTCACTGTAACTAACACACATTGGTACACAATAGCAAAGTAAAGAAACAATATAGATATATACTTTGGGAAACAATGTTTATCTTTTTAAATGCTTGTTTTAGTATTTTTCACTCTATGTAATCCAAGATTACCTTTGTGGTACCGAGTAAGTATGTATGTACTTAGTGTACACGTATTCAAACAAAAATTAATTTGCTAGTGTTCGTACGGTTTTGGTATACATGTATGCACAGCATAGACGTCCTAGACTATCACATCACATGGTGCATATCAATCACAGTTTTTTAGCATACAATATCGCAAACTGATATGGTAAAATATAGCATTATCAATACCAGTGGATTTTATGATGTCATTGTAGCTGATTATTTGCAATAATGAATCCCATTATAGAGTATCGAGGCCCCGTACTGTGAATATGAGTACATTTTTGTTTTTGAAAATGAATAAAATAGAAGCTATTTAAAAAGAAGAGAAATTGTGTGGTAACAATGGATACAGTTTAAACAAATTAAAAACAAAAGCATTTACCATTGTCACCACTGGTGGCACACTGTTCTATACATTATTGTGGAATACATAATGTTGCATCAAGTTCATTTTCACTGATATGGAAAGAAATAAACTTTTATAATCTCTCTAAACCAAAGAAATGTACATGTACAATGTACTGTACACAACAAAAGGAGTATCACTTTCACCACTGGTGGCGCTGTGCTCTAAAAAAAAAGCTTTTATTTTCAATAGTATTTAATTTAGGTTTTTTTAAGTTTTAAAGTTGTAATGTCAACAAAACGTAGTTGAAAGCCTTTTCAATTTCAACTAATTTGGCCAGAAATTATTGTGTTGTTTATAAAAAGAATTTCTATTTGTCTTCAGTACAAGTAAGCATTACTGTTTAAATTCTATTTCAGGATCATGCTTAAGTACCTAATATTCAATGTTCCAAGTTTGCTCAGATGCAGTGGTAACAATAGTCTTTCAATAAATTTAAAGGTGAGGCACCTAACGGCTATAAAACATCACAGGAAGTTATATTGAAGTATTTTGAGTATTCTGTGGATTCCCTCATGTTCCAAATTACAGCTATAAGCAAATACATGTACGTTAGCAAAGGTAATTTGAAAAAAAAAAAACCAATCAATTTGAAAGCCTAAACATCATTTTAAAATTCAGAGTTTTGACCGGTCAGTGAGGTGAATAACTTAACATATGCATTTGCAACAACTTACACCAACACATAGGGGCTTACAATGATAGACACTGTTTGTAAGACCAACTGCTAACGTTTCTCACCTGGATCTTTCAGGGGCTCAAAAGTTTTCTGGTCGGTATTTTTAACGTACCAATCATAGATGCGACCAACAAATGGTGAAATCAACGTCACACCAGCCTCAGCACAAGCAACAGCCTATAAAACAAGATTATGTTCATTTTTAACGAGCGATATATCAAGCATCCAACAAGTCATTTAGCGTGGACACCAGCAATTGTAACTACACCAATGAATGCCTTAATAAATGGCACAGAATTATGTTTTTTTTTACGGTTTCCATAACTTCAGTACATTACCATGGGAACAAGCAAGTACACCCTGTCCTGTACAGTAGGTAAAGTCTATTATATTCATAGATTCTTATTCCATTTATTTTTTTTCAATTTCAGTTTTTTGTCTCATAAATACTGCATCTAGTCGACAGGTTATTGTAAATGACATTGAAAGTTGAGCAAGTGGAAATCCATTCACAGTAAAAATTAATCTTGTTTCAAAACAAATCAAAATATTTGTACCAAGTTTAAACAAAAAATGTCTTAAAGTGTTGGACAAAAACAAAATGGCTGCTATTTTAAAACAAATCGAATAAAATATTCAAAAAAAAAAAATCTTTAGTAACTCGCAATATATGATATGTTCACGGAAAATTGATACAGCTATGCCTGCGCATCAGTTGATATGTTGAAATTCTGTGATTTTGTGTTTTTTTGGTCAAGAATAGGCCAGTCAGAATTTCAACGCAACAAATTTTGATGCAAATTTAAACAAAATTTATCAAAGTGTGTCAGAACACTTTGTAAGGGAGAGCACAGACTCATGGGATACATGTAGTAAATTTAAAACATACAGTACCTGAGCGAAGGAGAAAAGTAGCGTCATATTGCAGTGAATACCGTATTCTTCTTCCAAAACTCTGAAATGAGATATCAGGATATTAAATTTACATATAATGAATGGTGTTAGAGTGTAAAATACTGCACAACACATGCTACCAGTATGTTATTTAAAGTGGCACTGTTCTCAGAATTGCAACTGGACTTGAACAGCTTTTTATCCGCTAAAAAAAATTTACTCTCTTACAGGCAAGCTTGTAAATTCAAACCACTGTTAACATTATGTGTTGTGCCTAGACAGTTTAAAGCTTTACTTCCGTAGTTAAAGTTACACAGTTACGACTACGAGCAAAGTTCATGTTTTGAACTGCACATAGTGTGTGTTAGGCAGAAATGTACGTTAAGACCAACCAGAGAACAAAATATGCAATCCCATGCCACCTGAATGCATAATTTGCGGTATTCTCTTGATAGCTTTATTTGTTTCATGTAGTGAGATACAGCAACCCAAAATGCCAGCAAAAACTGTTAATGCTGGTGCGATCATTTGCAGAAATGTGATTGTATTTCAGCCAAGTTATGTTGCTACGATGTCCGAGGTAAATGAAAGGAAAATATTTAAAAGATGTAATTACGACGCATATTTTCCAAATAAGGGAGACAGATAAATGTGCCAATAATACATGTACTTTTGAACACATCCATACTGAACTCCTAGATAGCTTTCTATCACCAGAGAAATTTCCTAGTTAAAGCTTGGTATCGTCTCAAGTTATACTTGTTTGTGTGTATAACAGTTAAAGTCTCCATCTTTGTTCATAAGAGACCAATATCTCGCGCATGTGTGGTGCAACGACCACCGAACTATAAATATAACAATAGAAATCATTGTTTCCCTGCCATCATGAACTAAAAATTTGCATAATGCATCAACATGGTGAAACTAAATGCTACATGTAGTAATAATAAATTGTTTAATAGTTTGTGATTAAAAAAATAATGTACGATTCTTACTTTGCAGCCTGGACTCCCTCCCAAGTAGTGCTAAGTTTTATCAATATACGCTCTTTGCTGATCCCAGCGTCCTTGTACATTTCAATAAAAGTCTTCGCCTTTTCCACCATTGCGTTTTTGTCGAATGAGAGTCTGCAAATAATGAACAATAGCTGATTACAGTGTTCTCCCCAGGCCAAAACAGCGTCGCGGGCCCCGACGCGATCGGATTTGCCCGCGACGCTATGTGTTTCCTCCGCGATGCTATTATTTATCCCGTGATCTGATTTCTTCAGTCTCTCG